AAACAAAGCAGACCAAGAAACAGCCTGGAGGAGAGATTTAAAGATGGAGAACACACAGAAGCAGGCTGGGCGTGCCTCATCTAACAGTAATTCAGAAGTCCCTCAACTTTCTACTTGGGCACCCAGATCAGAAACTGGGAGACCATTTTCTTCTGGCTTCTGTCTCATTACTCATGCACAACTTGCCTAAGACTTGCACATTCTTTTTCCAAAACATACTGTAGTTTGTCCACCCCTTTCCGTCCCCACTACCATATCCCCTTTCTCTATCAATGCAACATCTTCTGTGAGTTTTCCTGCTGCATGCACTGTCCTTACCCATTCTGTTAGTCAAAAAGAATTTTCAAGGTTCAGGGATATAGCTCAGTGGCACAGCACCTGCTTGGCAAGCCCTGAGTTCAACTCCCAGTACCAAAATTTAAAAAAGAGAATTTTCTAAACACCTGATTGTGTCATTTCCAGATTCCCTTTTCCCAAATAAAGCCCCAATGTGTATCTTGGTTTAGGAGGTTTTACTTCATCTCAAACCTGTCTATCAGCAAAGCCCTAAACCCCACCATTGCAATCTTCCATTTCAATACCCCGTGTTCCTCACTCAGGGCAACCTGCCTCTGTCTTCCTGTAGTGGTTGACCCATAATGTCAACTTGAGAAGTTTAGAAGCTTAACTAAATTGGCTTAGCAACTCCACACCCTTAGGGTTGTTCCTCTCTTAAGAGGATATAAAAAGGAAATGAGGAAGGAGAGAGGATTCCCTTCTTCAGAGGAGCTCCAGTCTTTGCCTTCAGCTTGGACATTGTTTGGCTTCTGCACTGGATCCTTCAGCGTTCAGGTGTAGACTCATCAGCCTTCCATTTTGGACCCATCCGCCTCCTGATACGGACGGACCTGTGTAGAACACTGCAGGACTGAATCGCAGAACTGAATCCTTCAGGCTCTAGTGTGCAGGTGCCCTCTGCATACTTCCTCATTTGACTCTGGCTGACTGGTGTAAGCCAATCTTGTAATTTCTTATACATTTGTACAGTTTGTGTTATATGAGCTCTGGTTTTTTTTTTTTTTTTTTTTGGTGCTGAGGCTCAAACTCAGAACTTTGTGCTTGTCAGGCAGGCATTTAAGCCACTGAGCTATCTCCCTTGCATTATATGTTTCTCTAGGTTCAAGGATATAGTTCAGTGGCACAGCATTTCTCTAGTAAAACCCTGACTGATACACCTTCCCATTTGTAGGCCCAGAGCAGTTTATTCCCCATCATCTACCCATCCCTTCCCTCACAGGTGCTTTACTCCGGTACTCTACCTGAGACCCTAAGCCAGGCTGCCCTCACCATTACAGCCCATCTTCCTGTTTAGTCCTATCTTGATTCCTTGATATTTCAATTACTGCTTCAGGGCTCCCTGTCCTTGGAATCCCAATCACTGCCTTCTCACTCTGGATAGTACTTTCTTCCAAGTGACATGATATTTCCTATATTTTCCATTTGCTTTTTTAAAAAAATTATTCTCCAGGGCTGGTGAGATAGCTCAGTGGTTTAAAGCACCTACTTAGTACAAGCTAAGCTAAGCAAAAAAAATCCCCCAGCACCACATGCCAGCCCGCCCCGCCCCCCTGGTGGGCTGAGCTGGCCACACCCACACACACCCACACACACCCACACACGCAATAAACAAACAAATAAATATTTTAAAAAAATTATTCTCCAGATCTCTCTCTCTCTCTTTTTTTTTTTTTTTTTTTTTTTTTTTTTTTTTTTTTTTTTGAGATAGAGTCTCACTATGTAGTTCAGGTTGGCTAGACTCACTATGTGAGTCCAGGCTGGCCCTGAACTCAAGACGACCCTCCTGCCTGTTTTCCAAGTGCTGGGATTACAGGCATACCCTACCATGTCCAGCTATCCACCAGCTTTCTACTTAAGGAATTATACTTAAATAAAAATTAAGTTAAAGAAAAAAATAAACCCATCCTTATACAGGTGGTACAAAGACACTGTACAATGGGATTCTGTGAAATATGGCTTCCACCAACAGTTTGGTGATCTGCCCAACCCCCTTGGATCCTTTATTATTTCCAGTCCTCTTTCTGGGGCTTGGAGTATGCTGTGCACCAATGACAACCACCTGTTCTCAGGCCCCTGGGGCCACATTACTCAAACTATCAGTGAGTTCTAAAGTACCTTTAGGCACTAAAGGCCACCAGGACAGCCATTGATCATGACTGGGTGTCAGCCCTTTTTCCGCTCTGCACTCCTCATTTTGGACAACGTTGAGATCCCTAGCGTCTAGAATAGAACTTAGTATACCAAAGGGACTCAACAAATACTTGTTGAGTGAACAAATGTAGCTAGCTAATCCCATCCTTTGAAATTTCTAGAGGTTTTGTTATGCTTAGGCTTTTTTTTTGGTGCGGAACCAAGGATTGAACTCAGGACCAGGCAAGTGCTTATTCTACTGAGCTATCTCCCCAGCCCCTGCTTAGGCTTTCTTACACAAGACCAAAATATGTTTACCAAAATTCGTTCTCATTTTTTTATAATTATTTGCTCTGTCTTGAAAATGCTTCAATAACTGAGATAAAGATATATTTTCTTCTTAAGATTAACCTAAAGTCCCAACAATTTTTGAATGTTTCTTTCATTTGTAAGACCAAGTGTGTTTTAACTGAAACTCTTTGGTGAGGCATTATGTAATCATTTATAGTGATAGTTACAAAGATTATGTCACAAGGTGGAAAAATGCTAACTTTATTATTTTAAACATTTTTTATATGTCTATAAAATTTAGTTAACCTATGGGCAAGGACAGGAAAAATGGAAGATAAAGATTGATTTTAAGATGAGACAGGGTTATAGATAGTGAAAATTTAAACAGCATATATAACGGAATAGGACATAACAGGAAAGGGCCAACAGGAAAGTTTCCACAAGCAAAAATTACTTCTGGTGGCTTCATAGTACAATATAGAGCTCTTTACAGGCACAGTCCCTTTGGAAGTACTGCATTTAACCCTCCTCCCCCAGTTTTTAGGCTTTAACCTGTGATCCAGTGAGTCCAAATGCTCCCTTGGTCTTGTCCTGGCTGAGGCAACACAAACCTTGATCTCGGCTGTTATCCAGTGTACAAGAATCATATCCCCAGGCCCTTGCCAAACAGCTCTCTCTGGAAGACACCACTCTGACCGCTTAGAAGTCTGTACTTTTTTTTTTTTTTTTTTTCCACGTGAATTTAGAGAACTTCTGAGTTCACCAGGTCCTAGGCAACAGACATCCTCATAACAAATGAGAACATTCGAGGTAAGCCAAAATATACCTTGAGCACCACGGGGCCCTAACTGCACTTGTATAAGATTGGAGAGGTCATGCCCTGCAGCTTGCATTTCACCTTTTATGCCATCCCATATGCTGTTCGCTGGATCTCTGATGGTCTTACAAGAGCAGCTACTCCTGAGCACATCTCAAGGGCACCTGGCACCAGCGCATCCCCTAAACTCATGCAGTGTCAGGATGTCGCCTGAAGTCATGGCTTTGGGGGCAAAACAGCTACCTAACGCAACAACCACTTTTACAGGACCTCTGTTCAAGGAGCCCCGTGCCAGGGCTGTCTTCCACACAGGGACCTGCGCCATTTGCAGGAGCACAGCCCTGCGAGGTGTTGGGGTGACCACCGGAGGCGCTTCCAAAGTATTTAAAACTTTGGAAAGGCTCACCGGTTCGCCAGTGTGCAAACAACCGCCTGCATTTAGCTCCAGAGAATTAAAAATGAGAAAGACCCTATTAACCTCATCCCCAGGAAGCCACCACGAGCAGAGAGACCTGTCCTTTCCAGCGCCTAGCTCCGGCGCAAAACCGCTGGCGGGGATGTAGCGCTCAGCCCCGCCCACTACGTTACAGCCCGCAGGCCCGTTCAAGCCTTCTCGATTGGTGGAGAGCGCGCACGAGCGCCCCAGCTCCGCCCCCTGCGGCATCGCCCCGCCCACTGGCCGGCGGGGCTGCGAGTGTGGCCTGCAAGTTGGGACGCGCAGGCCCTGGCGCCCGGGGCTTAGGCTCTGCGGCTGAGGGGGCGCTTTCCCGTCACGCCCTGGCTGTCGCCCCGAGTTCGGCGGTGGCCCGCTGCGCTGCTCATTTAGTTCTGCCCCACCCCTTCCGTTCCTCAGCCCGTCACGGGCTCCTGGCCGCAGAGTGCCCGGAAACGCCCGTGGCTCCCCTCGGCGCCAACGGCCCACACGTAGGAGTCGGTCCTCGAGGACCCGCAGACTCCGGGCCCGAGTGCTGACGCAGGCTCCGCCGGCCTTGGCCTGTAGCCCTTCTCCGCGGGCGGCTCCTGCCGAGAGCGCCCCCACGCCGGCCCGGAGCTCTCGGCGGGCCGCCTGGGTGTGAGACTCGCGCACGTGGCTCCTCCGGCTGCCCCAAACGCTGCCCCACGCCCCTCGGCCCCCCCACCGGACGCAAGCCCTTTCCCCCAGACGCCCAGCACCTTGAGGCGCCCGCCCCCGGCCCTGCACCCCACCCACCTGCCCCAGGCCCCGCCCCCACTCGGCGTCGCAGTCCTGGCCCCGCGCTCCTCTGCCCCCCACCCGGGCAGGCTGCGCTGGCGGCGGCGGAGGCCGTTCCCGGGGCCCGGACACACCCACCCGCCTGCCCGCCCTCCTCGTTTCCCTCCCTTCCTCTGCTTCCCTCCCTCTCTCCCGCCAGCGCTCCGCGCTCGCTCCTTTCCTCGCGCCGCCCGCCATCTCCAGCTTCCCGCGGCGCCGGGCCTCCTGCCCAGTCTCCCGGTGCGCGGTTCTCCCGGGCGCGGCTCCGGGGTTCATGGTGACGAGGCGCTGGCCGGTCGAGCCCAGCGGCGGCGGCAGGAGCTGGGGCGCGGGCCCCGGCGGCCTCTCCGAGAGCGTGGGGCCGGGTG